CCATGCAATAACCCAAACAAATACTAAGAAGGCCATGTTGCAAGAGTTTTTGTAGCCTATGCCCATCAAATCCTTTTCTGATGATTATGGTGCACTTGGGGGCTGAGGAAGGAATTCATTGCAATCACCACGGCAGTGATTCCAAAACCCCAAAGGAGCTTAAAAATCCATTATTACCAAAACCACTTTTCCCAGACCAAAAATCTCATTGAAATCTCAATTATGTTACTATGACCTCCAAGTTCGCCATCACTTGTTGTTGTAACCCAACACATTTGCTGCAGTGACCACATACAAAGCTCAAGCTTCAATAGCCAAGTCCAAGCTTTTGGTTCCTAAAACATGTTCACAACAGCTGCAACAAACAATACCTAAGTTGCCATAACTGATATGCTCCAACTATGCTCCAACGCCTCAAGCACTTTCTAAGCCTTGACCATTCCAATGACCAAGTTTAGGAGTCAAAACCAAAAGGCTATCGGGATGTCTCAATTGCCACAATTCCAAAATCAAGCATCATCAAGCCCCGAGCCTTAGTCAAGAAATCCAAGTACTATGCTTTACTCAAGAAGGAAAGCATCTCAATTCATGGAAAATGAAAGGGAAATATTGCAAAGGTAGTGCTATGATACTGCTGGAGGAACCTAAATGCTGTCAAGATGAAGTTTATTTTACCAAACAATCAGAATTTTTGAAGCGATGTCAAGCTTTCAAGAAAAGGGGTGCTGGAAGCGTATTTTCCTATATTCATCCATTCTTCACCTGCAACATCCACCACTACTTGCCATACTCTAAGGAAGATCTTACACACCAAGATACATGATAGAACTCTAAGAGGCAAGCTATTGACAAGGACCCCTTGCCAAAACGAAGGGGAAAGTAGATGGCTACTTTCATTACGTGCTTTGATGACTTGCTCGACAACGACGTATTGTGCCACCCGTGGAAGAATGACCCAAAGCCACCGGAGGCTATGTGGGAACCTTGTGGAAATATGAAGAAGTCCAACTGGAGCAAATATTCAAAATATGCAAGCTATAACACCCCGTGGCTACTTGCTAATGGATGGGAGAATGGTTCCAGCAGCGAAGTATTCACATTGGACATGCTGGAAGAAAGCCACTCGGAGGCTTCATTTGGTCATCAAGATTATCAAGAGGCAGCTGTTGTAACCTCTCATAACTTCACAGAGGTTGAAGAAAGTACAATGGGTTAGGAGCTGCAAATCACTCTTTGATTAGTTTGGTTATGAGCTGCAGGCAAGCAAAGCAGCAACTGTGGCTCTGTTAAATATCTTTACAGAGCATGGCATCCTAATACAACACATGCCAAATACATACCAACCTAAGCCACAAGCTTTCATGCTATTGCAAGTCATGCACAACCTTGGACCCTTTCATACTTGGGGGCTTAATTTGATGGGGATTGGATGATGCTGGAACGGATTGGCAGTGCAAGGTAAACAAAGTAGTCATTTGACAAGGCTGGCCTTTAGGTCTCTGTGATCTCCTGAGCTGTAAATCTGGAGCCAGTTCTGGCAGATCTGTCTGTATTTCTTCCAGTTCTGGCTGATCTGGAGCCAGTTCTGGCTGATCTTCTTCCAAGGCATCAAAAGATTGGATGATGCTGGAACAACACGATACAACACCTGGAAGCTTTATAAAGCCCGAGTAGAAATCGTGCACATATTGGTTTGACCCTTTGGGAAAGGCAAGAAGCTGCTTTTCAAACCCAGAGGCTAGATAAATCATGCAAAAGAAACTTTAGGAATTCCGCTCCTGTCGAAATTTTGGCAGCATATACCTTGTTTTTAAGGATATCCAACCTGTCAGAAAATCTCAAACAGTTCACAAAGACCTGTTTTGCCAACCAAGCTGTATATATGAGACATGCGAATTACAACCTGCCTTCAGCATTCAAAAAATTAATACAAGCCTCAGTGGTTCAATGCCAAATTACAAAGTCATAACAACGTAGTCGTTAGAATGTCAAAAGAAAAAAAAAAACTACAGTCAAAGCACGATAAAACTATACATGCTAAAGATCCATGCAT